CAGGTAGATACGGCGAGTTGAACAGGACGTATCTGTCCTAGTCCTCAAAGGAACTTTAAACTGAATCTGCATTACTGAAAGTACTCAAAGAATTTCTCGTTAGTTAACCTTAGATTTTCTGTACAATTTGGAGTTCAAAGATGAGACAACAGACTGTGGTTCAAGTAATATCTTCCCTTTCCTCTGGAGTTTGATGTAGATAAGATGCATTCACTAATGTAAAATGTAAGCACATCACCCCTATCGCCCAAGGGCTTGCTTATTGGACAGCGAGAGAGTCAAACACCACAGTGGTAAGTGCTAGGATTAAGGTATGAAGGGGCTTCTACAGCCAGAGAGAAGGATGGGCAGAGAAGGCTTCTTAGAAAAGGGAATCTCCAAGCTGAGATTTGATGTGAAAGGAGAGTAACAGAGAGGCCAAGGGAGGGACGGGCCCCAGGCCGAGAAGAACAAAGGAACGCAGCTAACACAGGGTGACTGTCTTTTAACCCCTACCTCCTCCACTTACGAAAATGGGTCAGAGACAAACTATAAAGAGCTCAACTGTAGGATCCAAAACTATAAAACTCTTAAAAGAAAACATAGCCTTAAGCAACATTTTCTTAGGTATGACATAAAAAACATAAGGAACAAAAGCAAAAAGAGACAAACTGGACTTCATCAAAATTAAAACTTCTGTGCCGAAAATGACAGCATCAAGAAAAGTGAAAAAACAACCCACAGAATGGAAGGAGATGCTTGCAAATCATACATCTGACAAGGGACTGATATCCTAAAAATAGAGAGAACTCTTACAACTCAATAATAAAAAGATAAATAACCCAAGTAAAAACTGGACAATGAATCTGAATAGACATTTCTTCTTAGAAGATACACAAATGGACAATGAGCACATGAAAAGATGGTCAACATCATTAGTTAGCAGGGAAATACAAATCGGAGCCATAATGAAGAAGAAAGAAAGAAGCCCAGTGAGGGACCCGTGAGAGGGTTTAGTGTGCCTGACACAGGCTGTGCTGGGACGGAGGCGGTGGCAAAAGAAGGCCGAAGAGACGGGTACGAAACAAGTCATGAAGAGCCCTACAGGCCAGACCAAGAAGTCTGGATATTCTCCTAAAGGTAATGGAGAGAAATAAGAAATTTGAAGCGGGGAAGCAACACGTTAGGTTCAATGAGATTCGATTAGTGGGGCAGCCTGGATGCAGACAGGCAGGTAAGGAGCTTTCCCTGGAGGCTGCGGAAGATAGAGGAGGGTCAGTCCCGGTGCTCGATGACTGAGACCATCTGGGCTCCTGGTGGCCATCGTAGCTAAGCAGGTACTGCTGGGCTGGAAGGTCCCGGTGCTCGATGACTGAGACCATTTGGGCTCCTGGTGGCCATCGTAGCTAAGCAGGTACTGCTGGGCTGGAAGGTGGCGATCGTGCACTGTGAGGGCACCAGCGGTTCTGACGATCTCTCCAGAAACAAGCTGAAGTACCTGGCCCTACTACATCCAGAGCATGCTGCTCACAAGACCAAGCGGGGCCAGGCCGCCCCGGAGAGCCTCGAGGTGTGTGAGGGGACCCCACCACCCGATGAGTAAAAGTGAGTGGTGGTCCCTGCCGCCCTCGAGGCCGTGCACCTGAAGCCTACACGGAAGCCTGCCTACAGGGACCTGCTCATGAGGTCGGCAGTGACAGCCACGCTGCAGGAGGCGAGGAAGGAGGCCAGGATCATTTACTGGATGGATAGCAGCTCATGAGGCTACGGAAACAGGCCGAAAAGAACATGGAGAAGAAAAGGGACAGATGCACAGAGGTCCTCGAGACCCATGGACTCCTGGTCTGAGCCCAGTAAAACTGACGGTTAATTCCCCAGAATAAGAACTGAATAAATAAAGTTGGGGAAGGAGATATGAATTGTGTGGGTGAGGGCACTCACTTCCAAAGGGCAACCTTAGATCATTGTTCCTTTTCTTGAAATCCCCAAAACTACATATTTTTATAAACATCGTCTCTGTTCTCAAATAACTTATACTTTAGATGGGACACTGCAATGCTTACCTAAGTTGTTATAATAGCAGATGGGTCCGGTAAGTTTCAGAGGAGCTTCAAAGTACCGCTGAAGTCCAGCTGGAAAGTCAGCGAGTTGGGGACAAGTAGTGCTCATGTACCCGCATTAGAGCCGGGAAAGCCCCCAGAGAGGTCCAGGTTCGGTTCCCGCTAAGGGCGCGTACCTCGGTTGGTTGCAGTTTGTCCCCAGCCCTGGTTGGGGTCGTGTGGGTGGCAGCCACTCGATGTGTCTCTCTCTCTCTTCCTCCCTCTCTCCCTTCCACTCTATCTGAGGATACATGCAAAAATGTCCTCGGGTGAGGATATAAAAAACAAACAAACCAGGAAAGCCCCAAATTACAAAATCAGCCCACACTTTCCAGCCAAGTACTGGGGGTTGTAGAAAACCCCAAAATCTCAGGGCTAGAAAGGTTCCAAAAGGCCGCTGAGCCTCCCACTTCTGAGGCCTGAATTCTGTCCACAGGACCTCCAGAACAGGCATCCTGGCTTTGCTTAAAGACCCCAGAAATGTGCCATAAAGGGGGCCCACTTATTCCGTCTTTGGACGCCTTGGACTGTCAAACCCTTCTTTCAGCTTGGCCGCCATCACCTGGTCTGCATCGCTGACACTGCTGCCACCTAGGCAGAGCCTCTGGCTTGCCCTGAACCAGGTCTTCTCTCTTCCAGGCTATACAAATGTCCCTGTTCCTTCAAAAGTTCCTCAGGGACATGGTCTTGAGTCTCTTCTCTGGTTATTCTCAGAAGTCACTATAATTCCTTGGGGGAACCTTAGCGAGTGGCAGCCATAGTCTTCAGAGCCCTTATCTGAGCACCGCAGGGACAAGCAGATGGTCTACTAACACAGCTTGCCCACGCTTCATTCGACGCTGACGGCGCTGGCTGGGCACTAACACCACTAAGTTGGTTTTCCCCCAAGTGTCACTGAACCGGAACTTCCCCATCTTGTACTTATGAAATGGTGTGCTCGAGCCTTGCACAAGAGAGTTCACATTCATCAGTTGATCCCTACTCAAGAGCAATTATCTTTGCAGCTGGTCAGGGGGTCAACAGTTGCAAAAGGGTGTGGAAAGAGTGTGGAGAGTGCAGCAAAGAAACAAAGGGAAGAGTTCACAGGTATCAGTAAGTCATATCAAGCATTACCCATCTGGGCCTTTCCCGGGAGACAAAAACAAGACAGGATGTCTGAAAACCTTATCCAAGAGAGCCGTGAAGGGTCTTGGAATGGAAAGGGCCTTGGGGAGGTCCGGAAGGCCGGCCAGACTGGGAGGCGAGGGAAGGCCTGAGCAGAGGCTGCTGGACGCATCCTGCCCCAGGAAAGCGCAGCGCACGTGCTGATGCTGACGAAATGGACTGAGTCATGAACACCCGAAGGCAGAAGCAGCAGGACAAGAAGGCTGTGATCAACAAGACCCTGGGACACAGTCCGCCTAGATCAAGCTGTGCCTTTATTAACTACACTCTTTCCATTTACTTGTTTATACCTGTCTATACCACCAAAAATTTGAGGCACTTAGGATAGACAGATTAAATCAGAGCCAGGTGAATAAAAACCAGGATTAGAAAGGAGCTTGGTGGATATTATCTAACTCAATGTGGATGACCACCCTACTATACAGATGCTGTTATCTATATTTCACCGCTAAGAATGCTGGGTTTGAAAACAATTAAGAAACTTGCCCAAGGCCCTGGCCGGTTTGGCTCAGCAGTTAGAGCGGCAGCCCTCGAAAGAGAGTCCCGGGTTCGGTTCCACTAAGGGTACGTACCTCGGTTGCAGTTTGGCCCCGGCCCCGGTTGGGGTCATGTGGGTAGCAGCCAGTTGATGTGTCTCTCTCACATGGATGTTTCTCTCTCTCTCTCTTCCTTCCTCTCTCCCTCTCACTCTATCTGAAGATAAATGCAAAAATGTCCTCAGGTGAAGATAAAAATAAAAGGAACTTGCCCAAGGTCTCAATGTTACTGGGTGACATTTACGTCTGGTCAGAAACTTCAGCTCTGTCCTCTGTATCACCACCTTCTGGCTTCTTCTCTGTGGACACTCCCTACCCAGGCAGAGAGCAGAGTTATCAGGAGCTCAAACTCTGAAACAGACACTGCTGGGTCCAAGCCCAACTCCACCCCTTACCAGCTATGATAGCCTTGGACAGGTGACAGCCTCCTGCCCCTCCACTCCCTTGGCTTGAGCTGGGGTTAATAACAGTACCTACATCTGCAGGGCTGTTCAGAGGGTTAAATGAGTTTACATTACTAAAGCACTTTTAGAACAGATACATAGTACACACGAAACTCGATTAGTTAACTACACTATATGTGTACTTGGTCAAGCAGCCAGCCTCCCAGTACATCATCTGTAGCATGGAGAGAATACAGGGACAGCTCCCAGCCATGATGATAACTGAGACGAAACATGGAAAGTACCTATATGTTTGGTTATCATGATTATCATGCTACCTTACCTTAAATCATCTCTTCTTTCATCCAAGGCTGAACGTTATTAGATAACTTAACCATTCACGTAATCAGGGAAATGAGCTTTTAATAGGTCAATTGACTTAGAAAGAGAACTATAAATTTAAGGGAACATCTTGAAATACAATGTGAAATCATTAAAAAGAAAAGTGAAACACAGGAGTGACAGGTGATGTTAAAAGAAACTCGTCCCATTATTCTGAGGACGTGCACACCGACAGGTCGTGACAAGCGGCAGAGGGTGGTGCATGGTGCTCTCCCCCACCGTGACCTCAGCGGAGCGGAGTACTGTGGGTTAGCAGCTGCTGGTTGTTTGTTTTTAGGCTCAGTTGTTTCTGATTCTGGTTAGGGTGCTAAGAGTAAGTGTTTTCCCCTCTGTTTATAACTTTCATAAACATTAGTTACAATACTTTAGAGATGATATTTGTTTAAATGTGTGCTTGGAAATGTTTTAATTTAAATCACACCAATGGAATATCTAACCTTCACGCGGTCAGGGTCCACATAATGCATTTTTTTCATATCACATTCTTCAGTAGTATAATTTAACTTGAGGATATAAAGGATCCACACTCCAAACACAAGCAGTATACACCTAGAAAAAAAATCAATTAGTAGAATGATGCAATCATGTGACAATCAAAAGTGATCACGTGAAATAAGAGAAAACCTAACCCCCACTGAGTTTGCCATGTAGCAAATAAGTACCGTCTTTAAAGCTGACCTCAGGGGTCAACGTAAGGCACTACTATTTATTTCCTGAGAAGATAAATTAGCCATTTATTACTGTCTTTGTTACAAGCAAATGTAGAGAAAAACCTTTTCCCACAAAGGCAGCATAATAAAATCTGAATCAAACTGCAGATTACTGGACTTAAAAAAAAGAACTAAGCCTGGCCGGTGTGGCTGAGTGGTTGAGCATTGACCTATGCACCAAGAGGTCGCTCATTTGATTCCCGGTCAGGGCACATGCCCAGGTTGTGGGCCCGATCCCCAGTGGGGGGCATGCTGGAGGCAGCCAATCGATGTTCTCTCTCATCGATGTTTCTATTTTTCTCTCCCTCTCCCTTGCTCTGTCTCTAAAATCAATAAAGAAAAATTATTTTTTAAAAAAAAGAACTAAAAAATCCCCCAAGTAATAGACTTTGAACTACAGAATTGCAGCTTCAATTTTTTAAAATACTGACAATCCTTCAAATACCGTGTGATTCCACTTGTATGAAGTACACAGAGTAGTCAAAATCACAGAGACAGAGTAGGTTGGCGGATGCCAGGGGGCAGGGGAATGGGAAGTTAGTGTTTAATGGGAACAGTTTTGTTTTACAAAATAGAGAGTAGAGAGGGATGCTGTGATGACTGCACAACATGTGAGTGTGCTTGCTTTTTAAAATTTTTTTGTTCTTTATTGATTTTAGAGAGAGAGGAAAGGAGAGGGAGAGAGATGGAAACATTGATGAGAGAGAACACTGACAGGTCGCCTCCTACATGCCCCCCCAACTGGGGATCGGGCTCACAACCTGGGCATGTGCCCTGACCAGGAATCGAACTGGCAACCTCTTGGTGCCTGGGTTGATGCTCCACTGCTGAGCTACACTGGCCGGGAGTGAGTGTACTTTTAACATCACTAAACTGTACACTTAGAAATGAGTAAGATGGTAAATTGTATATTGTGGGTATTCTACCACAATAAAAAAAAATTGGGGGAAAAAGACTGAGTCCTTGAAACGAAGCTCTGTGAGGTGTAACAGTGTAAGACCATCTACAAAAACTGCTTTTAAAAATTCGATAAATTCACAGTATTATATAGTTTAAAACACACACACAGGATTAGGAGAGGAGAAATGAGTCTAGTTATGGTCCTAGAAATCTCATTTTATTTTTATTCCTCACCCAAGGATATTTTTCTACTTATTATCAGATAGAGTGGGAGGGAGGGAGAGAGAAAGAGAGAAACATTGATATGATAGAGCCACATCGACTGGCTGCGTCCCGCACAACCGGACCAGGGCCGGGGACAAAGTGCAACCGAGGTTCGTGCCTTTGACTGGAATCAAACCCGCAACTCAATGGTCCACGGGCCGACGCTCTAACAGCTGAGCCAAACCAGCCAGGGCAGAAATCTCATTTTAAATAAGTTCTCCAAGTGATACTGACAAACCAAAAGTGTAAAAAAAAAGTTTAAACCCATTTAAGAATCACTGCTTTAAGTGATTTGTATTTGAAAAAACAAAGTTAAGGAACAACCTGAAGGGGAAAATAACCTGCTTTCTAAAGGGAGGGGCAAATGTGGGGCAAACAGCATCGAGCACCGCACATGGTACACAATGGATGCCGAGTATCTGTCTACAGCTGAGGATGCTGACGCAAGAAAGTACTGCTAGGATGTTTTTTCAACACTCCTTGATTCTCATTTTAGCAGGCTCCCTCCCCGTGTGAACCGGAACAAGTACCTTAATTACTCCCTGGGAGCCAGTACAATGTTAAATGAACAGGATGCTGCTCTTTGTGTAAAAAGCAGTGGGGAGTGGGGGACAGACATACACAACACACATGGTGTTTCTTGTATCTACCAGGCTGGTAATGTTGGTTCGCTATACATGGGAAGGGAAAACGTGGGAGCAGGGATGAGAAGATACTTTACTGAGGACCTTTAATAGCCACTGAATTTTGACTCTTGTGAATCTAGTTTTACCTATTCCTTTCTCCAGCCTCCAGAAAACACATTACAGTCAGTGCTTGTAATAATTCCCTTACTTTGGTTTTGTTTCTGTTTTTCAAAAGGAAGAAAACAGGGTGTTAAGAGCAGGCCCAGGGACTACAGTGCTGACCCCCGTTCTGGAACTCCCGGTCACGCCTGTCTTGTCCACACTGTAAGGAGCATGGGGTGCGGGTCTGTTCTGCCATGTGGCCAGCACCCAACACAGTGCCAGGCACATGTGAGCCTCCATAAATATTGGCTGATGAGTAAGGAGATGGAAAATGATACAAGTGTTTATAAGTGTACATTTCCTTTTCTCACCTTTTTAAATCTGTACCTCCTAAATTAATAAAGTGAGATGGGAAACTAGATTTCAGGATTCCATTTTTATATTTAGACATGAAAAACGGATACTTTTCAACTTGGTTCAGCTGGTACCAAATCAAACCAAGTTCCTCCTTTAACAATTATACAATTTATTAGGATATAAGGGTCATTTGGCTGAGATAACTGTCATCCTTTTTAGTATTTAATATTTAATGTTATTCAAATGTCTTTAGGGGCCTTTAATTAATCATATTTTAGATTAACTTAAAACAGCTAAGGGAAAAAGCCCTCTTTTGTTAAATAATGGCAGGAAGAGCTGCGCACTGTCTGGGCTGCCCTCTTGGGCATCCAAACCCAGGGACAGAGTCCAGAGGGCCCCTGGCTGGGCACTGCACTCTTACCAAGTACAGTGTGATGCATACACCCAGGGCATCTGTGCTCTGACTCTCTAATCCACGTGCCTTTAAGTGATCCTCTGACCAGTGTGGCCAAGTACAAGAGCCATCGTTAGGGCTCTCATTGAATTTTATTCCCAGTTCTACACAGTTGACACAAACCGGGGGGAATTTCTGGCCCGAGGGCTCATACTTACTTGAAAATGTCTTTTAACAACAAGCTGGGTCTTCTCATCTTGTTCTGAGCGCGGGTGTAACATTGCAGGGAGGGTCTTGAGCAATCGCTTCTCAGTTTCACAGAGTGATACTCACTTGGCATTGCTGTGAGGAAGAGCACGGGAGGAGGAAAAAGAGGGACGAGTTAGGTAGATGATGTTTTTAAAGAGCCTTTATGTGGTACATCCACACCAAGGACTACTACTCAGTAATGAAAAGGAATGAACTACTGATACATGCAACAACTTGGATGAATCTAGAAAGAATTATGCTGAGCCAAAGACTAAAAGGTTACATATTGTGTGATTACATTTATTTTCCTATAGAACATCCTTTAAATGACAAAATTATAGAAATGAAGAACAGCTTAGGAGTTGTCAGGCGTTATATATATAAGGGATGGTGGGTATGGCAATAAAAAGGCAACATGAAGGAATCTTGTGGTCATGAAAATATTCGGGAACTTGGCTGTATCTACGTCAATATCCCAGTTGTGATACATACTATGGTTTTGCAAGGTTCTACCACTGGGGGAAACTGAGTCAAGATTACACAGGATCTTACTGTATTATTTCTTACAATTTCATGTGCATCTATAATTATCCCAGAATAAAAAGTCTAATTTTTTTTAAAGAGCCTTTACCTTTTAGAGATACATATGGAAATATTTACAGATAAAAGAGCAGAGTGAGATCTGCTTCAAAAGTCAGGAAGGGGATAAGCACGTGGCGGGGGAATGGATGCTTTACACTGATAACTGTTGTAGCTGGGCGATGGGTACTCTGGGCTCATACAATGCTCCATACGCGTACTTTTGCTTAAAGTTCTCTATAATGAAAACATTTAAAAATAAAGTGTAACATTAGAAACAAGAAAATTGTTACACTAAGAAAAAAAGAAAACATGGCAATTACAAGTTTTTTCCTTTAAAAAATATATATGTTCTTGGGTATGCTTGTCTATATGTTCTTTTAATTTTATTCTCAGATTTTCAATTTCTAAATAATATTCCAAAAGGTACTGCAACAGAAATGAACACATCTCCTCCCTTCCCCTCAGTTTCCCCCTTCCTCTCAGCTGACTAGAACTCTGCGTTTTCAGCTGGGCACAGGGCCTCCCAGAATAAGGACTAGATTTCCCCAGCCTTGGAGCTAGGTGTGGCCTCATGACTAAGTTCTGACCAATGGGATACAAGCAGAAGTGACTTGTACAACTTCCAGGGTCCCTTTCTTGGCATACTCTCCCTTTTCGTTTATCCCCTTTCCTCCTGGCTGAAATGCTGACACATGATGAGCCACCCTAGACCACACAGAGAGCACATCATCCCAGGGCTGGTGGAGCAACAAGAGCGACGGGGCCTGGGTCCCTGGACAATCCCAGTGGCAGAGCTGCCATTCCACCTTGGCCTGCCTGCCTCGGGACTATTACAAGATATACACTTCTGTCTTGTTTAAGCAATTGTTAGTTAAATGAAATGTCATATCTCAACTAATACAGGCACCTAGTGCTATGATAATAAATTTATATATTAATTTAAGAAATGTCTTTACTACACTCAGTCTCTCAGCCAGGAGGAAGTTTTATCTCATATTCACTTCATTTCCCCCATTAGCATTGTGCCAAAACTTTTATCAAACTGACATTCAAGTGTTCAATATTTTTGTTACTGTAAACAATCTCTCCCTCAATGCCAATTTCATGTAACACTAGAGCGTAAGAACTGTCATATATATGTACCATTCTACTTGAGTGGTTTCAGAAAAATAGTGCCAAGGTCTCCCTAGTAAACCTTTACTGAAGAATCTACTGAGTCCTTAAATGAGAATTAGAACAGCTGAGACCCTAAGGCCTTCAAACACTTCCACTCTGTGGCTAAATACAGTCAGCCGAGTGGACCTGCAGAGAACAAGGCTGACCACGGTCTCCACCTCTGCCTGTGGCTGGAGCTCTCAGCTCTACTCAGCCCCCAGGCTGTGACCCTGTAAACGGCATTTCCCACACTTGCCAGCTGGCTTCCTGTTACGTTGTGATTGTGGACGTTCTGTAGGAAGAGTGGAAGACAAGAGGAGAGAAGCAGCCTTTCCATGCCCCCGATTTGGTGGAGCTTCTGATGGGGCAGCCGCAGTAGCGGGCGTGCAGGGTGAACGTGACTCCAGCAGCGGATGGGCATCCGGCGTCCTTGGTTTCTACTTGACAGGAATGGGGGTGCCTCCAGGAGCTTTGTGATAGTAGGAGCTTCAGCTGAGGGTGACAGCAGGTTCTTATCTCTGGCTAACACTTTTCTCACTTTGGCATCTTCAGGCCTGCCAACGTCTTTGTGATCAATCCCCTGCATGAAAGCCCTCTCTGCCTTTAGTATCTAGGTGGCTTCTGGGTTCCTGCTGGACAATGGCTGGTACGTCAGGTGATCCTCTTCTGCACCTTCAGGAAAGTGGCTTGAGCAAGGGAAGGAGGGGCTCTGGGGGTGACAGGAGGGTCTACAGTCCCGAACACCTTCCTCTTCTCACCATCACTGCCGCAGAACATGCTCACCCAATTCATTCAAATGCTCAAAAAAATAGTTGTGTTTTTTTGTTTGTTTTCCTGATCACACTGGAGAGGATCTCAGGAGGGCACAGCATCTAAAGCCTGACACCTGGGCTCAGCTCCTCCATGTACCAGCTGTGAAGCTCTGAGCAAGCGACTCATTCTTGTAGCTCAACTATCTCGTCTGTGAAATAGGTGTAATATTATTACCTGCCTCAGAGGATTAATACAGGGAACAGCGGTTGCTCATAACAAGCCTTAAATAAGTGCTGGTTGTTGCTATTGTTATTACACAGAAAGGGAAGTTGCAGGTGCCCAGCTCTGTTTTAAACAATTCATCTAACAGGGCTTTAAGGCACTTGCTGTCCTTCAGTTACCTCACTTCTGGCCACAGGCTTTGGCTCTAGCCCTACGGCAGAGTCCCCTCTTCAGTCCGTGCCGTTCCCTTTCCTGGATGTCTCTGAGGCTCCCCCAGCCGCTCATGCACAGCCTAGGTCAGGCCTCGGTCAGCATCCTCTCTCCCACTAACCCTTTCTAAACGCCTGGCTTCCTTCACTGCCCCCCACCCCCGTCACCGCTCCCTGTGATGGCCGAGCCCTCCTGGCCTGAACTGTGTCTTCCTCCCTCAGCTGCACAGCCCAGGACGCCTGGGACCACACTTCCTCCCGACCTCTGCGATCTTCAACTTCCACACACACGTCTATGGCTCCGGGGTCCCGGGGTCCATCCTTAGCACAATTTTCTCCTTGCCCCACACTATTCACTAAAGTTTTCATCATTTGCCTTTTACTTACCTCCTCCAGGGAGGTGTGCGGACCCCTCCCCTGAGCTCAGACCTGTGTCTCTAACGACCTGCCTGCGCTCTTCATCTCAGACACCAATGCCCAGCAGACCGTGCACCCTCCTCTGTCCCTCTCACACAGCACTGCCCCTTCCCCTCACAATCCAAGCCGAAAACCCGCAGGTTCACCCCAGCGCCCCTCAATCAAACCTTGAACTTCCCGGCTCACTGACACTCCCTTAGTGGAGGTCACTTACTGGACTCCCCTATCTCAGTTTTGTCCCCTCAAAGCTGTCTTTCTAAAACAGATGACCTGGTTGGTAGTTCCCAGCTCATCTCAGGTTCTATGCATCCGGGTGACAAATGTGTCTGTCACACTCTAGCCACTAAGAAGCCGCTGGAATCCTGGACGTGCCGGGTTATTGCCTTGGTACCTCTGCACACGATGTCCCCCAGCCTGGAATCCCAGTGGGAATCCCTTCCACAGTCTGCCTGCTGGGCCACTTTTCACCCTTAAGCGTTCTCCTTCTCTGTGAAGACCATGTGTCAATACCACAGCTGTTGCTGGGCACTTCGCTATCCATTTACCACAGCGAACTGAAATTTTCTGTTAACTTTTTAGGTCTCCTCTATCTTTGCACAAGCACCTTGTGACTGAGCTGCAGGGCCCGAACCCTGTTCGTCTTTGTATCTCCAACATCCAGGCAGGGCTTGGCACACGGCAGGCCCTTCAGAAACATCTCCCGTGGAATGGAAAGTGCGTTACACACCTAAGGCCTGTCATTGGCTAAGATAAACTCCCTCTACCCCACCAAAATGTGTTTTCTCAATTATAACTAAGGCTAAAACTGAAATTGCATGTTAACAGAAATTCCAATAGCAAAGAATAAAGCATATGCGCTACTGAAACATCTAACGTGCCCAACAACAGGGAATCCGTTGGTAAACGATGGTGCGAACCACATGGAAGACACCGCAGAGCCTGGCTGCAGAAGCTGGCGTCTCAGGAATCATAAACTGCAGCCTGTTCCCACCCAGCCGGCCAGGCTGAGCGCCTCCACACCCCTGCCTCACTAACCATCTTGAAGCAGAAAAGACCTGGTTTTCGGAATTACAGATTTCTACTCACACATAAAAATGTAACTGATTCTTCATAGATGTCTGCATGCCTGGTGAAGACACAATTCCTATTAAGGCCCTGATGAAGGACGATAAGGGCAAGGCCCGGGCTTTCAGCCCATTTGTAGAACCGGCACTAACATTTTCAAGATTAAGAACTAACCACTCGAGACAAGAGTAGAGCAGATACCACAGAGCAGGACATGATGACTTGCCAAATGAACTGTACACACAGTTATTACTGCAAGTGTGGGTAGGGCATTAGTACTTGGGGGAGGAATAAGCCTACACATGGTATCACTAGGTCTTCAAAACACCTTCTTCGCTGGCTTGCCAGCTGCATTTAACCTGCCAAAGGTCACACGTGACTGAGTAAGGAGCTGAGAACTCCAACCCGAAGGCATCCACCTCCAGTCCGTGCCCTCCACCCGCGGGTGCTTAGGAAAGGCAAGTCTTGGAATAGATGGGTATACACATATGTGAAGGGATTTTCGTTTGTTTTGTTTTTAGTAATGAAGGTGTACCAAGGCACAGATCATTAGAGACAAAAATGTGAAGTTGAGAAAACTGACTAAACCAACATGGCTGGAGTGGACTGTGTGGGATGTTAACATGGCAGCAGCAGGAGCTTGTGTCTGGGGGTGGTTCTGAGAGCAGGACTTCATAGCAGGCGAGAAGC